TACAAGCTGAGCTGCTCCTGGGCAGGAAATTCCTTTGACTGAAGACAAAAGGCAAGCTCCTGGAGAGATAAGACCCCAGAGCATCAAGACTCCTGGAAAACTTCTTTGGTCTTTTGACAAAAAGCGATTCTTAAGGTAACTCTCAGGGCATAAGGACCCATGGACAATTTCCCAACATTATCAACACAGGTTTTGCTTAATGCACAACTATGTAACTTCTTCTTAATTTACTCTTTTCCTAAAACTATCACTAACTACTCTCTGCTAATCTTATTTAACCTCTTCCTAAACAAACACTAGCTACTCCTTGCTAACCTTAAATTAGCCATTAGCTTCTCTTTAGGCTATCACTGACGACTATGCTAACACAATTTATTCCTTCCCTACGACTCTTAAATCCTTTGCTAACAGCTCATCCCTTCCCAGACCCTGACCCTTTAAAGTCACAGTTAAACATCCGTATACATGAAAGTTATCACAAAGATGTATAGTATAGTGTGCCATAAAGTAGAAGGAAAAAGATGCATTGTTCTCCTCTTCCTTTGAAACTTTTATGTCAGTTTCTTATTAACTTACCTAAGGCATTATTGTAACTAAATCTTGCTAAACAGTATAAATAAAGACCTGCAAAAAGATGAGCAGGAAGATTTGCACCCAACTCCGACTCCCGTGTCTTCCTCACTCCCTCTCCCCTTCTTGGAATTTCTGCACGCCGACGCCTTCCCATCTTAGGGTCCTGCCTGTCCTGCCTCCAGACACCTCAAATGTTGGAGCTGGTCTCTGACAGGAGGTGACTCACATGGTGTGGCAGACCTCTCCTGACCCACCCGCTGTTCCCCCCAGCAGTGTGAATATCAGCCTGTTCTGCTCCCCACTCTTGTTTCTGGTGAATTCTCTCACCACCCCTCCTTCCCTCCTACAACTCTGGCCTGTATCCCAGTTCTGTATGCATAAAGAATTTTTTTTTTAAAAAGTAAACATTAAAAAAAGAAAGAAAGTGACTTACAAGGGGAAAAAATTTCACTTGATAACCACTACTCTTATCTTTTTCTTATACTATCTATAGACATAAAATTTTTTTTCAGAGCTCACAGACAAGTTCCTTCTTTCATTCCACTTGGAACCTTATTGCTTCACAATGTTTCAGAATCATGAAGTGTGTTCTTGCTGAAGTGCTGGGTGATGTAGTAAACATTCCACACAGAGCTTTCCCATCAAGCCAGTGGCTTACCCACCACTACCACCATCACCACTGGCACCACCGCTCAATTGTCATCACCACCACTACCTAATTTGGAGCAACAGAAGCTGGAAAGGTGATAGAGAGAGGGCTCAGGAAGGTAACAATTCCAAAGGACCATGGAACTGAATGCATTAAGGTAAATTTTCTTTATTTTTATTGGATGACAAATGTAGCCAATGAACAACTGTATCTGCAGTATTCTTTTCTTCCACTTGGCTTTCTTTAGACTACGGGCAGTGATGAGCAATATATATATCCCTCCAACTACCTTATACAACGGGACACTTCTGCACCTCCCTATACTCCTATTCTTCTATATTCTTCATAGTACTTATCGTTATCAGATATATGTTCACTTTTCCTTTATTACCTTACACATGAGGATATATACCTGTTTTGTTCACTGCAATATCCCTGGCAAATACCGCCCCCTCCCCCGAATATTGTAGGTAATCAAGTATTTGTTGAAAGGATGAATGAACGAACATATGGATAACATGTTACATTCTAAGAATCATTCCATGAAAGGGAGCTATATTGTGGTGATTCCTTATAAAGAGAAAAACAAAGGTCTGATATATAGTTTCATTCTAGGTCAAATCATAGTATTAGGGTCCCTTAAGTAGTGTTCCAACAACTCATTATGCCTCAGAAAAACTAGCTTTTATGCGACCATTATTAAATAATGACAAAAAATATCTGATAAACATTTAGGTCAAAAGAACTGAAACACTTACCATTAAAAGCTGTACTCATTTGCTTCCACTGGTTGTCAGTCCATTTCCTTTGCTTGACACTCTTCTTCCTTCTACCTGCTTGGATTTGCCTTGGATTGTTAATATCTCTCAATTGTGGGTTTTCCACACCAGTTTCTCAGCTCTCGTGATGCCATTCCCAGCTAGATAAAGGGTTAGTCTCTGGTTGGGTACCGTAATGGGGCTGTTGAAACTCCATCTGACCAGTTTAATCCTTTGTAGGAGCATATAGGTGGCTTTTCAGATTCTTCCCCTCATACCTTCAGGAGCAGGGTACAAGCTTTGTTGTCTGTCACCTTCAGCGAAGGTGAAGAAGTGAATGGTGAAGGGTTGTCGATTAAATTTGCTTATGAATTGTAAGCAAATTTAAGGAAGGGATATACTTTTGGGATTTGCTTTAAAATACCAGTGAAACAAATAGAGGTTGAAAACATGGATGAAAGAAGAGTTAAAATAAAAAATTTTAGTGGTGAGTTAGTCAACCATGTTGGATCTCTCTCATGTCTAGAGGAAATAGACAATTTATTAATGATCTTAAAAAAATTTCTCTTAAAATTTAAAAAATGTTGATAATGATTGAAGTTGGTGATGGGGGCTCATTATGCTTTTGTATTTTGGTGTCATTTTATAATTTTCAATTTAAGAAATAAAAATCCGCTGGTGAGGCAAAGCCGGGACTTGGTGATGTGTTAATAAGACTGGGAGCATCTATGAAGTGGGAATTTGTAAATAATATTTTACTGCAGCGGGGTGTAGCTGTATCCAAATGTAGTTGTGCATTTCAAGAATTAAATTCAAACAAGGGAATTAGCTATTACTTCTAACTTAACAAAAGTTTGTTTAATTTTTACTGATGTTGCCACATGTTCACTATAGATGAAGGTTGCTAAAGTCCTTTTGCCTATCATAGAGTGAAACAATTTTTTTTTTTAAGATTTATTTATTTGTGCATACAGAACTGGGGTACAGGCCAGAGGCTCAGGGGCGGCGAGAGGCTTCACCAGAGACAGAGTGGGGAACAGAACAGGCAGATCGACGAAGTACACTGCTGAGGGGAGCAGGGAGCAGGTCAGGAGAGGTCTGCCACGCCATGTGGTCACCTCTGGGGCAGACGGGAATCCAACTCATGCAGAAGCGGCTTTAGATTCTCAGCGCTATGCTTTAACCCGCTGCGCCACCAGGGAGGGCCAAGAGTGAAACATTTTAATACTGGTCATAGAAGTCTTCTCTTCCTGAAAATAAGATTTTTTAATACTGTGATCATAGAAGTCTTTCCTTCCTGAAAATAAGAATTTCCATAGAATGAAAAATTCTATAGGCAAGAATCCTAGACGATATTTGCCTATTTTCTATAGCCACATTACTGTCATATTGATATAGTCCTTTTATTATCCTGGTATATTGACTGAAATACACTGCTGAGGGGACAGTGGGCAGGTCAGGAGAGGCCTGCCTTCTGGCTGGGAATCGAACTCTTGCTGCAGTGGCTGCCGATAGCTTCACAGTGCTGTGCTTCAACCCATTGCACCACCAGGGAGGGCCCAAAAAGGGGTTTATTTATTTATTTTTTAAGATTTATTTATTTATTCATACAGAACTGGGGTACAGGGTTCACCAGAGACAGGGTGGGGAGCAGAACAGGCAGATCAATGAAGTACACTGCTGAGGGGAAGCAGCGGGCGGGTCAGGAGAGGTCTGCCACGCCATGTGGATCTCCTCTGGGGCAGGCAGGGATCCGAACTCATGAGGAAGTGGCTTAATCTTCCTAGTGCAGTGCTTTAACCCGCTGGCCACCAGGGAGGGCCAGGGGTTTATTTTTTATAACAAGAATCATCAACATTTTGAATACCTATTATGGCTGGAAAGTTTTAAGTCCCTAAGGATTCTAAACATTCATATTGCTTTATTCATAATGTTTCAGGCCCCACCTCTTATTACATCTAACACAATAAAAACACCCTTATCATCTACAACTTCTGCATGAATTAAATTGATTTAACTAGTTTTCCTATACACTTTAAGCTACTAACTTTGAGCTTTCAGTTTTAAAAATATTTTATAACATATGTATTTTATTTCAGGTCTCTGATATTCCTGTAGGCCCTGCAGAGATCTCACACCCTAAAGATTTGTGGGAAAATGACCTCAGGCACTTTGCTAGATACTTCTGATTGAAAGGGTACCTGCTTTCCAGAAATTTATCACCCAGTTACACATCCTTCCTTTCCTTAGCATATATCAGATCTCTTCTTGTCTGATGCCTTAAAAAAAAAAAAAAAACCTGAGGGAAAAAAGAGCTATTAGCTCTTTTCATTATTCTGCTTGGTTTTGGCATCTCTCATTTTTTTTTTTTAAAGATGTATTTATGCATACAAGAACTTGGGTACAGGCCAGAGGTGTGTGTGTGGGGGGGATAAGAGCATTCACCAGAGACAGAGTGGGGAGCAACAGGTAGATCTACTGAAATACAGTGCTGAGGAGAGCAGCAGATGAGACAGAAGTCTGTTGTACCATGTGGGTCACCTCCCTGGCTGGGGATAGAACTTGCACTGCAGTGGCTGCAGGTAGCTTCATAGTGCTGTGCTTTCACTCACCACACCACCAGGAAGGGTCCTGTCATTTTTTACAGAACTCTTTAATTAGGACACAACTGTTTTAAACAAGCCAAAATACAGTCAAACATAATTATGCTCATATTTGAAATCATATTCCTATGTCTCAAGCATATACCATTACATTGCTGTAATAAACATTGTGCTCATTTCTCAGTATTTATTTTTAGATGTCTCTCTGACATCGTGGAGGTTTTACCCAACTACACTGACGTATACATGGGTAAATCACTAAGTGTTAAGTACCTACTATGTTTTAGAGGGAATCACAAAAAGATGCATCAGAGTACTTAATTCTAATCAAAGCACAGAGGCTGGTTGAAGAGGCTAAAGATATTTTTATTGCATCATACCTGGCACCTAAATATCTAAATATCATCCTATTTGCAGAGTGGTTTTGAAAACAAGGGGAGAGTATACACAAAAGTCCTCATTTACTTCTGATGATGAAGTCCCACCTCTCAGGAGAAGAAAATGTTTAAGGAGGAAGAGAACATATACCGACACTGGAGACCTTGGTGAGGGGGCCACAGATAAAAAGATCACATTTCCCTGTTCCATATGCCAGCATGAAATTGATCTTTCTGAAATTTTCTTCCATAAAAAGATACATGGAGCTATGGCCACATTGGGTTTTCACTGGCTGGGTGAAAAGAAACCAACACGGACAGCAATGGTTGCTCAGAGACAGGTTACAATCGCCAACACTTTAACATCTCTTACATACCCTGAAAAAGCCTTAGAGAGAGTTAATCACGCGTTTGAACTACTTTGGAAGAAACACCTGCCAGCATATTATAAGATCATTGATAACTTTCACAGGCGTTACATATATTCTAAAAAACTCTACCATACGTTAATTAAAAGCATAGCTGTTTGTAATGACAGGAACTCTACATGGAGAGCAGAGATGAATGATAAATTCACAGTAGTTAGGAATTTTGGCAATCAACGCAATGTGTGTTTTTTTGGTTTGTTTGCTGGGCATGATGGAGCCTCAGCTGCAGATTTGACATCAAAGGAACTCCCACTTTTATTTCTCCATCAACTTTCCACATGTGATCCTTCCTACCAAATGACCCCTGAAGAACAAAATACAATCAATTCCTTTTGCACAGTGTTTAGGGAAGATTACACAGCTATAGAAGATGTCTTCTCCACAAAGAAAAGAGTGAAAATAATGGAGTGTGAGTATGAGGATATACACAAAGCCTTTGCAAAAGCATTTTGGAGAATGGATAGGCTTTTAAGTCTAGGAAGGAAAGAAATATCCAGGGCTCAATGGAGTGGCTGTTCTGCAGTTACTTGTATGCTGGAAAGCAAGAGTAAAAGTGCCATTGATAAGAAAAATTGGAAAAGAATCCCTGACCCTGATGTCTTGGCACAGACCTTCCCTTCTCAGAAGATATCACAATTAATGTCTGGAGTACTGCATATTGCAAACACTGGTATGTACATTGAATAGTGCCAGGTTATATTTACTGTTTTTTACTCCTGGCAGCAAAACTTGTCAGGCTTCCAGAAGTATTTAGTGTTCTGTTATTTAGTGACTTATTAATACACTGCCTAGAAATTTCACTGACCAACTGGAGAAACTATCAATAATCACAGCTTTGATGCAGATCACATAGATATAAATATTATTTTTTTCATAATTAGTAAATCAAGTCCTGTTCACAGTGAAACTAAAGGATCTCATGGAATTAGACCAATCACAATCACCTTTTTTTTTAAAGATTTATTTATGCATACAGAACTGAGGTACAGGTCAGAGGTGCGGGGGTGTGTGTGTAAAGGATTCATCACAGACAGTGGGGAGCAGAAGAGGCAGATCAACGAGGTACACTACTCGGGGGGGAACAGGGTCGTGAGACAAGAAAGGTCTGCTGCGCCATGTAGGTCACCTCTCTGGCTGGGGATTAAACTGGTGCTGCAGTGGTTGCAATAGCTTCATAGTGTTATGTTTTAACTTGGTGCACCACCAGGGAGGGCCCACAAGCAGCAGTTTTGATCATGATTTACTATTGTGACATATAACTGTTCATAAAGGCACAGCAAATAAAAATGTCGCATTTGTTTAGATATAAGTAAATTGAAAAAGATTCTCTTAATATTTTTTAAGTTCTGAACTTCCCTGTCAGGAGACTGGCACGTTCTTTGAGTATTGTCGGTATCACTGCTCAAAGTGGTCAGTTATCCTGTTACATATATTTGGCTTCGTGCTCATTGGTCAAGAGGCAACCACTCCATCGTAGAGAAATTAATATTTCAGGGCTTAGCTTTATGGCCATGTAATTTCTTACTCCAAAATCTGGCAGCTTTCTATTCCTTCTGCTTCAGGAGGCAGTTGTTCTGTCAGTGCTAATATATTGGACAATACTTGTCAAAGTGGAGGGCTAGTCCAGAGGGAAGACCATTTTTAGCAAAGCTACACCTGAGTTCCATGAAATCTTCCATAAGATGTTTTACAGTTAGAATTATTATATTGAAGTTTCTCATTTAGTCTTACAAATACACTGATACCTAATGATAACTAAGTGTTGATTTGTAAAAATATGACATATAACACTGTGTAGGCTGAATGTGTATGTTGATTCGTGTATTATTGTAATATGATTCGTGTATTATTGTAATATGACCATTGATAATTAGAACCTCTATCATGTTACATAATTATTTTTTAGTGGTGTGATGAATATAATACATTGCCAATCTCTAAATTTCCTACACTGCACATTAGATGTCTAGGACTTATTTACAACTTGTTAAGTTTGTGCCTTTAACCATTTCATCCTCCACATTTTATCCCGTCAGTATTGTTAACCCCATTTTCCAGATGAGAAAAATGGAAACTCAAGAGATGACAGAAAATTTGCTCAAGATTTCAGAGGTAATGGGAATTGGCACTTTTAAGCCCACTCTGTCATGCTACCTGCCTGGGAAGATTGCTTCAGAACCAGAGCAGGCTGGTCTTGAAGAACAAGAGCCAGATAAACACAAACCGTTAAGATGGCAAGTCCCTGAAAGTCAGCCTATTTCTGACCTAGCTCTGGTTCTGGGCATGAAATGAGGAGAAATTCAGATGAGAAATACAAGAAACCAAGTGCAATGCCAATTTCTTTGGTGTCTGGATATTTCTCGGGCTCTATGTAGAGGTTCCAAAGCCCTGCAAAAGAGGCCTTCTCCAGGGAGAAGACTTCAGACCAATCTGGTACTCATCTGCATTCTTGCACTTGGGCCCTCACTAGAAAATATCATTAGATATCACAGTTCTTGTAAAATTAAAGGCAACATTATCAACTATTTAATAAGTAGACACTATCATTAAATGTCTAGTTTACTATGATTCACTACTTTCAGGTTTCCTGCTGTTTAATTTGTTCTAAACTCCAGGTCAAACATTTGTTAGCTTTAATTTACAGGCTTACATAATTTTGTTAAATTGTTTTTATTTAGGCATCACTCATTTCAATGTAAGTAGGGAAAAAAGTGCATCTTGTGAAAGAAAGCTTTCTTTCACTTTCTTGTGTATGAAAGTGCTCTTGAAAAATTTAAATGGATCACAAAAAGTAAATTTTGAGACAAACATCCAAATTCACTCTTGTTTAAAATTTTATCATTGTAATCATGACTCTGAAATTAAAAAAAATAAACCTCATTTTAAAATGAAACATTTTAATGAAACACAATGATAAAGCCATTGAATAAATGTTGAATTTGTGCATATATACTTCTAAACAGACATACTTGCTATTATTGTGTTCTTAATAGTTCTCATTTATATTGCATTGTATGATTTCTCTTGGTGTTCTTAAGTTTACATCAATGAATCTCAGAGGGTAACAATAAATGAACTTAGAATATATAATTATACTTTCCCCCTAATGTAAAACCACAAGTTTAACCTAGCTTCTTATGAATATTAAAGGATTCTTACTTGACCCCTTTTGTCATGTCTCCAGTGCTTTTCTTTTTAAAAGCTTTATTGATGCAATTCACGAAGTACATAATTCACTCTGCCAGTGTACAGCTGAATGATTTTTTGTCTATTCAGAGATCTACGCAAATACCATGTCAATGTCAGAACGCCATTGTCATTTCAAAAAGAAACCCAGTTCCATTAATATCAGCAGTCTATCCTCCCATTTCTCCAGGTCTAAACCACCACTTAATTTCTGAAGATGTAACATTGCTTCAATATGGCTCTAATTACTTCCCCTTTGTACTTTAGATTCATAGAATTAACTTTCTAAATGACAAACCTGCAATTTTTCATAATTGTCTTATATAGTTTTCTTCTAAATCAGACAGAAAAGCATTATATACTAAAGTGCATTTTTAATGTTTTATATTTGTGTATAGACTTACCTTCCTTTGGTGGGTACCAGTTACTGTTTGGTGTTTCCCTTTCAGTCTGGTGGCTTTTTTCCTTTTTTTAATGCACAGCCAAGTCTGCTTGTGACGTATCAGCTATCTCTGTTTATCCAGAACTCGTTCTCATGTTTGAGAGGGCATTTCTGTATTTTGCGTGTATCTTTGCACATTGGCTTTCTAGGTTTCCTGGTTCCCCTGGTGTGTGATGTATGCAGAGTAGCTCTTGTAGGTGATGAATCACTTTTCTCATGCTACTTTCAAGATTAGGTTCTCTACTGACTGCATTTAATTTTCACTTGGGGATTGAGTTTCTGGGATGTGGAGATTTTTTTTCCCATCAAATTTGGGGAGTTTTCAACCACTATTTCTCAAGTATTTTGTTCACTTCCTTTTCTCCTTATTGGACTCATGTATGTATGCTCATAGAATGAGGGAGGTGACTCACAGGCCTCTTCACTTTTTTCACTTCTATTCTTTAGACTGGATAATCATCATTTACCAATTTGTCAAGGTTTCTCTTCTGCTCTTAGAACTTCTCATTTGTTCTATTTTTCAACTCCAAACTCTTTAGTTACAATTTCTCAGTATTCTCTACCAGTGGATCATCACTGTCATGCTTGGCCAAGCCCAATGTGTAGACTTGGGTCAGTTTTGCATTTTTCCTGTACATGCTTTTCTTCGCAAGTTTATCTTAAAATTTTGTTTAAAAGTGGGTATTTAAGTGATACAGATGTCCTTCACGTCTGAGTTTGACACTGTCTGGTTTATGACTTTGCTGGACTAATTCTGAAAGCCCTTATTTTGTTACATGTACACACATGAAGTCTCTGCTTGCTGTCCTAGTGGTCAGCTAATGACTGAATGATTCCTTTAAATAGCTTGTAACTAGTTAAGTCTGTCTTTGCTCAGAGGTTCTGTCCTTGTTGAGGCATGTCTTATGAGAAATGTCAATTTGCAACTGTGCCTCCTTTTATTTCCAGCTTAGGTTGAGCCTCGAGATCAGTCATAGGTGAGAAATGGGGCCTCTTAAAAGAGGTCTAGGGCGTAGGTTCCAGACTCTATATGCACATGCTTCCAGCTTTCCCAAGAAAATGGGAAATGGCCCATTTTTCAAAATCCTCTTATGAACTCTTATTCTTCAGCTTTTTCATATGCATTTTTTTGGGTAAAACTCAAAGTTATTGCCAAATGTTTTTGGGGCTCAGTCAGCGAGAGTTTAAATAACTGCTGTGGATTTTTTTGGACAAACACCCTGAGAAACAAAGTTATATGCACAGGGTAATCTCTGTACCAGGTGAAATAACCCCAGGGTTGAGAATGAAACCCTAATTTCCAGGAAGTTGTAAAACAATCTGAATAGTGACAATTTCTGGAATGGGTTGTTTTATTATTACTAGAAAGAGCCAAATTCATCCTTCTGTAGAGATGAACTGTTGCTTTGCACAGCTACCTAGCACAATTAATTACAAGAATACAAATCCTTTTACATTTACTTACCTTAAATTGTTTTTCTAGAGTTTGTAAGAATTTGGTCAATTTCTACCTCTGAAAAGTTTTAAAATTTTCCTAGTGTTTATTGCTTTTATTGAGGAATTTTTCAGAGATCCTCACTTGATTCTATTGTGTTTAGTAAAAGAAAAATTTATGTCCCCTATCTTGCTTCTCTTATGCTTATCATACTCTGAAGTTAATCACCATCATCAGTACAAGGACTTCTTACATTTTCAGTGTATCATTCTTCTGTCTTCTATTGTGCTGTTAAAGACAGTAACATTTTCTTCTTTTTAAAGATTTACTTATGCATACAAGAACTAAGGTGTATAAGGTGAGAAGATTCACCAGAATGGGGAGTAGAACAGGCAGACTGACAGAAAAACACTGCTTAAGGGAGCAGTGGGCATGACAGCAGGTCTACTGTGCCATGTGGGTCAGCTCCCTGGCCGGGGATCAAACTCCTACTTCTAGGGCTGCTGGTTAACTGATTAGTGTGGATACTTTAATCCCTTGTGCTACCATGAAGGTCCCTAATTTTTTTTTTGGCTGTTTTTAACATACTTTTTGTCATTAACATTGTATTATGTCACCATGATGTAACCCCCCAAGTAGACTTTTAAGCTTCTAAAGTTTTTGTTTTTCCGACTTTATGAACTGGTGTCAGCCATTTTCTTTTCCAATGTTGCCTCTGTTGCATTCTGAAGTTCTACCATTACATTAGATCTTCTCCAACAATAGTATGACTTTCCCCATTTTTGTGCTGTATTGACAATTTCTTCACATAGCTGTCCTGGTTCACGAATGCTTTGTGTCTCACCTCTTCCATTTCTCTAATCTTTTGATAGTAAGTTGACTTTTGTTATTTTTTTTAAGATTATTTATTTATTCATATAGAACTGGGGTACAGGCCAGAGATGCAGAGGGTGAGAGGATTCACCAGAGACAGAGTGGGGAACAGAACAGGCAGATCTACGAAGTACACTGCTGAGGGGAGCAGCGGGTGGGCCAGGAGAGGTCTGCCGTGCCATGTGATCACCTCCGGGGCAGGTGGGGATCGAACTCATGTGGAAGTGGCTTAAGCTTCTTAGTGCTGTGCGTTAACCTGCTGCGCCACCAGGGAGGGCCCGATAGTAAGCTGATTTTTAAAAAGATTTATTTATGCTTACAGAACTGGGGTACAGGCCAGAGGTGTGGTGGGTTAGAGGATTCACCAGCAACAGAGTGGGAAGCAGAACAGGCAGATCCATGAAGTACACTGCTGAGGGGAGCAGCAGGCAGGTCAGAAGAGGTCTGCCACACCATGTGGGTCAATTCCCTGGCCAGGTATCAAACTCATGCTGCAGTGGTTTTGGGAAGCTTCATAATGCGGTGCTTTCAACTGTTGCACCACCAGGGAAAGCTTGTAAACTGATTATTAAAAAAAACATTTGGCCATTTTATGGTTTCCTGTTTCATGCTTGTAATGACAAATGTCTAACTTTATAAAAAACGTAGTTCTATACTATTTTGTATGCCTGATAACCTAATATCTATTTCTGCTATCTACTACTTGTTCTTGCATTTAATATTTCATTCTTAATTTCCCTAAAAGTTAGAGGAAGGAAGAAAGGACAGTTGTATGATGTGTACTTGTCTCAATTCAATGACCCACACTGTGGTCTGATCTTGCTTAAATTGAGGGTCTTGAGACAAAAACTATACTGGATTATCCAAGTTGTTCCTAAACCTAAGATTGAATATCCTGGCAAGAAACATAAGATGCATACACAGGGAGAAGAGAAGATGGGAGGTGGAGAATGGAGATTGCAGTCACATGGCAAAAAATTCCTGGAATCACTAGAAAAAGGAGATTCTCTCCTGGAGACTTCAGCAGCTTGGCCTTTTCATTTTGGGGACTCATAACTGATTCTAAGAATACAGTCAACAAATATTTGAGATAGACGCATAAAATATTTTAAACTCCAGGTGTACATGAACACAAAAGATTCTTTGAACATTCAAAGAAACTAGCTCAACATAAGTAAAAATTTTCACATTAATCAGAAGGCAGTGATCTGGTGCCCACGAATGCTTGAAAACTGGATATAGCTTGTCTTTTGATAAAATCACTTACATGTGTTTCTAATTCCATTATTCTATTATATATTCCATTATTATAATTCCATTTAGTCATACTTTATGTGTATTCAAATTTCTTTAGGATAACACTTTGCCTACTTTTCCTTTCATGGAACACAAAATTACCTCTAACAAGTGCCAACTTATTAAACTTTCTTAAACCCTCACAACTTTGACAAAATGAAAGCACTGCAGGTATTATAGGGGAAATAGGTGAGTTAATAAAGGTTACACAAAATTGGGGTTCAAGTACAATGTGCCAAGTGCTTTCAGGTGTTTCAATTTCCCCCATGCTCTTTCTTCTAATCCATCTTTTATCTCCAGATACTCACTGGTTCTAGGTATGTTTCCTTTTCTTACAACATAAAATGCCTTTCCTCCCATTCTTAAAACTTTACCATCATCTTCAAATTTATCTGGAGAAATCTTGACCTTGCTGATGATTCTGAACCTCTTTGGGATTCTAGAAGTCACTAAATTTTACAGTACTACGTTCTCTTTACTAGAGATAACCCAGCAGCAATGCAGGGCTGACCCATGTACAGGAAATACTTACCTGCCTTTTTTTTTTTTTTTAAAGATTATTTATGCACACAGAAATGGGGTACAAGCTGGAGACGCAGGATGGTGAGAGGCTTCATCAGAGACAGAGTGGGAAGCAGACAGGCAGATCAATGTAGTACACTGCTGAGGGGAGCAGCGGGTGGGTCAGGAGAGGTCTGCTGTGCAATGTGGGTCACTTCCCGGGTGGTTGATCGAACTTGCGCGGAAGCGGCTGTGTCTAGCTTGCAGTGCTGCATCCTTACCCACTGCGCCATGAGGGAGGGCCTATGCATGCCATCTTAAAAGACTTCCACATTATGTCAAAGCAGCACTTTTTAATTCCTGTGATTAAGGTCTCCAAGTTGCTCTTCCAGTCACTTTGTTCTTTCTACTGCTATTGACATTTTCTGAAAAGCACAAATTTCTCCAACTATGGAAAAACTGGTCTCTTTGTCTAGAAATCTGAATCACTTCTGCTCAGATTAATTAAATTTCTTGTGAGTCTTCATCACACAGTTCTTCACTTAATTTTCTCATTTCCTCATGTTAAAGGGACCTTTCTTTAAATCTTTCCTTTAAACTTCAAGAGTTGCTTCTCTTCTTTCAGTTCTCAGGTACATGGACAGTATTACTTTAAAATCTTCCTCTAATTTCCCTTCTTCCGTGAGGATTTTTGTTCACCACTTAGATTGTAGCTTTCAATTTAATGCAGTTAAATTCCGTCAACAACTCCATTTGAAAAGGATAGCATATGAATCTTTGGTTCAGAAAACAAACTCTGCACATCCAATTATTCTTTGTATGTGTTTCATTAGTACTCTTCCAGTGGTGTGAATCTTATTCTCTACTTCTAGACCACAGGAACAAACAGTTGTGAAATACTGAATACTTCTCTTAACTCTTTCCTTCCATGCACCCTTCACTCAGGTTTAAGAATGTTAGTTAACTAGGATTTAATGTCCCTTTTAGAAAATTTTATTGTGTGGAACCAAGGATGTTCATAATAGTAAAATGAACTACATGGCACTAAATTTCTAGTACAGAAACAAAAACACTAGTCAAGCAAAAACAAAAAATGGTCAGTAGTGCACAAACTTACATATACCAAGTTCTATGTAGATGCAAATAATTTACTACCCTTCCACAATAACTTATGTGTAAAAGAAACCTTTTGCTGAATGGGCTTTAGATTTCCACACTTACAACATGTAGGAAGTCAGAGAATCTGACACCAAATATGAGCCCCAATTTAAATGTGAAAATTATATGTTTTCTAATTTAAAAGAAGTTTTGGGTTATGTATCTGCATAATACCTTCCAGACTTACATTAATAATTTACAACCCCACAAAAATAATTTTACTGATTTACCTTTTGCAGATTATCAGTAGAATGATCAGCAGAAAAGACAAGTTAATATAATTATTCAAACAAGTTACAAAGAAATGAGGTCAGATGTTTTTAGGACATGTATACAATTCTCAAATTTCTAAAACATTATCCACATCATCATCATCATCTTATAGGTCCCAACCAATAGCGTGCACATTAATAACTCTTGTTATGTAAATGAGGCAATAGCCTCAGTCTATGCCTGACACTAATGAGTCAATTGCTCACGCTATTTCTGTTCACCAAATCTGTGGATTTTTGTCTTTGTAAACTCATTTTCTTTATCTAACCCTCCAGTGGAGGACTAAGATTGAATCCTTGCACTAATAAAACTGATTCTAAGTAGATCATGTTTCAAAACAGTATTATTCTAAATTATATTTGGCCCTATTCTAGCAATCTCAATGCTCAAGGTACAATATTCAAACATCATTAACCCCATCTCAGGATAACCTTTCATAAATGAGTTTACACAAAGAAAAATGACCACCTGTGCTTAATAACAATTATATTCCTAAAAACGAGGAAAATGAATTTTGCTAATTAGAAAAAACTGTTTTTGTCCTTAAAACCAAAAAAAAATTGGCAATTACAACCACTCACCTCTATTCAGGTGTTTTAAGTATCCCTACTATTTCAATGAAGCAAGAGAGACAGGTTCATCTGAGTCACAAACAAACTGCAGTCAGCTTTTAAGATTGCAGTTTTCAATCAAAGGGTTCAATTTAAAATTGGTTGAGCATTATTCACTTAAATTCACGAACATATACTTTTTATACTTTTTCCTCTTTACAGTGCTACATGACTTAGTTTTTAACCACACATAAGAGGAACCGGCTAAGACTGACAATAATAACAGTGGCATTCTAAGTCTGAGTCAACCACAACTTGCAAATTCGTCATTTTTACCAGCTAAAAAACTGTGAAGCTCCATTAAAAAAAAAATCAACATTTGTGTTAATTAAAAATGCATTTATTTAAACATTTTGAATGTCTGCTCTATGGAATGTTAGTTATAAAAAAGTTCAATTCTTTATGCTACTAAATATCCAAAAGCTTTCATAAAAATTATTTTCAACATGTTATTTTAATACTAAATGCAGTATTTAAACTCTAAACTGTTTAAAAGTGAGCAATAAACTGACTTCCCAGTTTTAAATCTGAATTACTATAATTCACCCAAAATTATATTACATATTTAAACTTTTAAAAAACGTCTTTTTTTTGCACTTAAACACAAAATTAATAAAAATCAACAGCATACTTTGATACAATTGGTTATCTCCAGGATCAACTTTTTAAAATTAATCTTTTAGGTGATGTGGAAGCACTCTTATGCAGAAATGGAAAAGGCTTCTCCCTAACCAAAGAACACACTACAAAAAACATAAATGAAAGAAAAAGAGTACTTCAGAAAGGAGCGTTTATTAGCTCAAATGAACCACATGGTCTCCTAGAGGGGAAAACAACTATTACAAGAGGACTTGGATTTCATGGAAATCCCAAACTGAAAAAATTCATCATTCCAGCACCTCGAACTATTTCTGTGCCTATAAATAACTTGTGCCAATTCCTAATCTTAGCCACGAATGGACTCTGGGAAGTTCTGGACATGAAGGAAGTGACTGCTCTGGCAAAAACAGCATTTCAGACATACAAAGAAAGATACTTCTCCACCAAACAAAGCACATCTGCCTCATCCAAAGGGCCTCTCTCGTCCCCAACCAATGAAGCAAGAATTAGTGAGCCAGAAAGTAACATCCACATAGTGTTTGAGACTAAACCTGAATCTACACAAGGTGTGTCATCAACTAGGAATTCAAAAGAATTTTTGCCAGATCCAAAACATTCTCTACATTTCACAAGTAACCTAAAAAATCTAGAAACATTTCTACCAGAAGTGACTAATTGTGACACTTACAAAGAGAAAGAAACTCGTGGAACAAACAGTAGAGATGGTATGCCTCAAGATTCAAAAGAAAAAGGAAAAAAAACATGCACTAAGAGTTTCTATGAAGGTGCAGCTGAGCACATCAGCCAGGTACTTGTAAATGCTGCCTTCTCAGCAGGCTCCAGAAACAACATTACAGTCATGGTGATACTTTTTAAGGGAAGTGAGTATCTATTTCTGGTATAAAAGATAAAGGTATAGTAATTCAGAGTACAAAAATACAACTCCATAAAGACAATCTGTCAATGGACCAGATTATTAGGGTGATACATCAGTAACATGCAAATCCTTTTTAAGAATGTAATAAAGAAAATGTCAAAACAGATTTTAGATTACACATTACTACTTATGTATGTTCACTTACCATGCCAAAAAAGAGAAAAACCAGTACTTGCTTTTTATACCACTTTATTCCAACCTGAGCACCTCATATAAAACTAAACACTGGTGAACTGTTTTCCTTACTAATTCTGAATCACTGTAAATGTACATGTTCTGCTAACAGTCCAACACTTAAATAGATTAAATCATCTCTGACACATGGTAGGTTTCATATAATGAAAATACCTAAAACAATTAGTGCAATATACTGAACTGATCAAAATAAGATGAACTTTGGGAAACAAGGCTGCAAGATTGTTACTAACAATTCGCAATACTTATGTTACAAATTACACATACATCGTTTATTATGGTTCTAGGCTGTGTAGGAACTGAAGCCCCTCTTTCAAAGGGGCAGAGAAGGAAAAATTAGCTGTTTTAGTAACTGTACACTTTGTATATTTTTAAGCAACTCTTAAATATTACAGAAAAGTAATAAACATATGAAGACTACAATGCAGTACCCTATTTACAGTACAGCTGAAGACAGAATTTAAAATAATCAAGTTTAAATGTACATAATTGTTAGTGCATTGACTATATTATGTCCAAAGGGAACAAAAGCTCCCTCTCCCTGCCCTCAAACAAAAAACCTATGTAATGGTCAACAGTGATTAAACAGAAATCACAGACACCTGGTTTCTCTTGTTGAAGAGCTCACTTGTTTGAAGGGAACAATATCCATATTAAGATGCATTTATCAGTGTTCATATTCCTAAACAAGATGGGGTTACAATAGACATTTTACACCCCCCTCCCCTTTTTAAAAAAAGGAATGGCTATAATTTAGATGCCGGTAATGTTCATTCCCTCTCCACCTGCCCCACCCCCCCAAATATGGGACTATTTTCTTCCTTGTAGCTAATTTGTTAGAATGTGGAATGTACACTTTAAATATAGATACTAGAAGAAATTACCGGATGCCTGAATACTGTAGCTAAGCGTAAGTATGTTTAGAATCTCCTTCTAAAAAAAGATTATGTCTGAAGACCTGAATTCGTAAGTTCCAAAACTTTTGATAGGCTTCTGCATTCATATAACTGGCTGGTTAACTATGGTTCCAGATAGTTATTTGCCCATATACCTGCATGGATGAGAAATGAATGATTCCCCCAAACTTTCCAAGGAAACAAGTGTACATAAAGCTTTCATTTTCCCTTTCTACTGCTGAAACATTAGCCAGAGGGTCACATGCACGTTATTAAAAATTAAGTTCAAAACACTTAAAATAATTCTGTATTAGAAATGACTCTATCATAAGTCTCTTCTTTTTGGAAGTCATACTGGGCTGGTTAAATGCTCCAATTCCACTGTTATTGACATTTAGGAAGCAGAAGACTATTCCAGCTAGTTCAAACTGGAGGTTTAGTTACTACAACACTGACTCCTGGTTGGCTGTGTGGGTTCAGTAAGGTCTACTCCCCTTCCTCTGGCAGAATTTGCTCCTGGATTCTGTGGTTCATTCTTTGGCAATTTTTTAGCTGAGAAAATAATTAAAATAAACACAATTAGAATTTTCACATTAAAATTACATTCTCAGAAAAGTCTTAAAAAAAAATTACATTCCCACCTTACCAATAACCTTTCTAATTGTTACCTTAAAATATCGTATAACTACTATATTCATTATTTAACAATTTTTAAACAACGGGTAAAACGAGGACCAGATACAGGCTCACAATTAAAACTTAACTTGATAAGAGCTGTAGTTTAGTTAATTCTCTACACAGATTCACAAGATACCAAAAAAGTTGTACTTTATTTTATAATCATTAATACTTGCATTATTTAAAGAAAATATAATAAAGATGGGCAGTTAAAAATGTTTATAAACCAGCAGCTTAGCTCTTATCAATATTCTTTGGGCTGTCACATGACTTTCCAGAACAAATCAAGATTTAATGAACCCCATAATATCCACCACTGCAGCAGGACTTGTTCTCTACTGTGCAACCTACTGAGCACCCCGAACTACAACACATTAATGTCCTGTCTTGTTCTTGGCTTCCACAGATTGCACATTTCAAACATCTGCCATTTTCCTCTCTCATGGCTGATTAAAAGCCTAATCTGATTTACAGTCCCAACTAATATAAATGGACTTGACCCTGAGGATCAAAAACCTTCCCTATTTTTAAGTCAGGTAAATACAATATAACTTGCGACATACTTGGACAAAAGCACCTCAACCAGTTGCTATGACTTTTGTTTTGTTAAACTTTAAAGCTAATGGGTTATTTTTTCTGGTTGTTTCTCACTGATTTAGAAAAAAAAATATGTGGTAGATAGATGTAGTCTGACTTGAAACCTAAGATTATAGTTCTTCTTCTTTTTTTTTTTTAAAGAGTTATACATACAAAAACTGGGGTACAAGTCAGAGGTAGGGGTGCGTGTGTGTGCACACGCACACACGTGCGGAGGGATTGGTTTTAGAGGATTCACCAGAGACAGAGTGGGGAGCAGAAAAGGCAGATCTACTGAAATACACAGGAGAGTCTGCCATGTCATGTGGGTCAGCTCCCTGGCTGGGGACTGAACTTATGCTGTAGTGGATATGGATAGCTTCACAATGCTCTGACTTAACCCCTTGTGTCACTAGGGAGGCCTCTGAACCTAAGATTCTTGATGTATAGGATTCATTTTGGGGGGAGGGAGAAAAGGTGGTTTCCCTAAGAGTACAAAGTTTAAAGGAAGTTGGACATAATCTATTAATTTTGGAAACAGGGGAACATAAGAACTGGGGTTTAGGCCAGAGGTGCTGGGAGATGAGACAATTCACGAGACAGAGTGGGGAGCAAAACAAGCAGACCTACTGAAATACATTGCTGAGGGGATCAGCGGGCTGGACAGGAGAGGCCTGCTGTGCCATGTGGGTCACCTCACTGGCTGGGGATGAACTCAGGCTGCAGTGTCTGGTGATAGCTTGATACTGCTGAGACCTTATATTAACCTCTGTTCCATCAGGGAAGTCCAAACTTGAATTTCTTAGGAATATATGAACAGGCAGCTTACTCCAGATTAAGCCACCACGAAACTGTCTCACCTTGTGAAAGACTATTCTGAGTGTTTTTGCCACTTTCGGTGAGTTTTCTCTAGCCTCTCAACCAACTGTCAATTGATTAAATTACCATATAAAGCTATTTCTTTTTTGGGGATAGGGCTGTGGACACCCCAATTAATACTACTGTATAGTAAAAGACGTTATGACACAAGAAGTGCTTGACATATGAATATTGTGGAGGCAGTAAAGTGTGAGAGCTGCCACAGTAGAATCACTTATTTTTGTTATAGAAAAATGGGAAGATTCCTCATTTACTCCTCCAATTTTATTACAACAAGCAACAGTTAAAAGTACTTTCAAGGATAGTTTAAAGTTAAAGGTTCCGTAAAGGAAAGCCAACAGCACTCTGTTCAGATGATTACTAATGTAATAGGAAGCTTAGATGTGGTTTTCCTTTCCTTCTCTTTGTCAATTTTGAAACTTTCTCCTTTATGTTTACATTAAATAACGTGTCAATCTATATCATACATTTCTCTGTTAATTTTGCCAAGTGAGTCAATGATTCAAAATGAACTTGAAAAACAGAAACAGTGCTCCAATTTTTTTGTATCATCCATTTTTGAGATGAAGTTACAGTGCTCAGTGAGAGAAAAACCTCATGCCTACAGGTTGCACTGAAAAATATCAAGGCGTAGCAGACCTCTCCTATCTTGCCCACTGCTCCCCTCAGCAGTGTTATTTCAGTACATCAGCCTGTTCTGCTACCCACTCTTGTCTCTGGTGAGTACATTCATCTCCCCACACCTCTGGCCTATACTCCCAAACTCTTGCATGCATAAATAAAAAAAAAATCTTAAAAAGAAAAAAAAAATCACTGAGTATATCTTCCTTTTCCATAAAATATATAATCTAATAAAATAATCTATACGAATTTCTCTGTGAAATCTTTAGAATGACATATTCTTTGTCTGCTTAAGACTATCAGCTCTAAGTCTAGGCTTTCAACTTACCTGAAAGAACCTTATCTGAACTAAATGGATATAATAAATACATAATAATTTTTCAGATTTAGTAGTGACACCAACAAAATAATGCTTGGTAAAAAGAGATTGAGGGCCCTCCCTGGTGGCGCAGTGGGTTAAAGCACTGCACTGAGAAGCTAAAGCCACTTCCGCATGAGTTCGATCCCCCCTGCCCCGGAGGTGACCACACGGTGTGGCAGACCTCTCCTGGCTCGCCCACTGCTCCCCTCAGCAGTGTACTTCATAGATCTGCCTGTTCTGCTCCCCTCTCTGTCTCTGGTGAAGCCTCTCACCACCCCTGAGCCTCTGGCCTGTACCCCAGTTCTGTATGTACAAATAAATCTTTAAAAAAAGAAGAGACTGAAAAAGGAGGTACCATCATTTAAAAAAAAAAATACAAAAATTTTTAAAGACCGTCAAACCAAGTATGTTCTAGTATAAACTGCTTTGTCCACATTTATTATTAGAATAAGTAAATCTTACCTATTGCCATGAATATTTCATTTACATTCATTGATGTTTTAGCTGACGTCTCCATGAATAATAAACTGTTGTCATCTGCATAGGACTGTGCTTCCTGTTATAGGAAAAAAAAAAAGATAAATCCTTTGCATATGCTATATTGAAATGTTAAGTGGCTGTGTCCTATTTGACTGTAACTGCAGCGATATTTACCACTCTGTGGTGGGGAGGTTAAGTATCTTAGAAAGAGTAATAATGTATGTACCTCACATAATAGTTGTCACAAGAAGGAAATGAAACCAAATGTGCCACATGCTTAGCTTAGAACCTAATGATGAGGAAACCTTGCACTCCCATCTACAAGTTACCATCAAAACAAAATTATCCCATTACTGGTACTGTGTAATGATCACAACCAAACTTCTTTAGGTGAGAGGCTGAAGAGAAAGAAAACAGGGGGGCTTTTAAAATGTTTAAGTAGAGGTATTTCCTTTGTTTTAAATGATATTTCTTGCTGTTTTGTCACAGGAAACTTTTTAAATTAACGATTAATTAGACAGTAGACAGTGAATTTTGAATATTTTTGAAGGTTCTTTTAAGATCCACCACAGGATGTGTAGATGTAGTTATGTGCATGTGCAGGGGTAGAGGTACTAGGATAGAGGCCCACCAACTATCTTTTACTTATTTTGTAACGGTTTAGGGTCTCTGAATCACAATGTATACATTATAGTTATGTAAAGCTATCTAAACATACTTTACTACATACTTTACTACATACAGTATACATTGGTTTTAAAATCTGTCTTTTTTATTATTTGCTTAGTTTTAAAGACACATTTACAAAACTATGTGCCTTCAAGTTAGTTAAATCTAACATACCTGGAAATCAACAGCTCTTTTATTTGCAAGGTCAGCCTTGTTTCCTGATAAAGCTATTACAATGTTAGGACTTGCTTGCCTCTGAAGTTCTTTAACCCAGTTTTTGGCTCTGGCAAAGGACTCCTAGGAAACAAACAAACAAAAAAGCCATTTGGCATAGGCTCAAAATGGTTAGGGAGTATCTTGGTAAGATAAGATTTTAAGATTATCCAGCAGTATGACTCTCAGAAACTCATAGGACTTTTGTTACTG